ATTTTGGTGTATGTGACTTAACATAATTACTCATATGATTGAAATAGCAATTCAAGGTTTATAGTTTTAGGCTATTTGAAACTTGACTTTGAAAATATACTTTAATATTTATTCTGAATTTTTTTCTGACTTTTCAGTTCCTCTCAGTGGCAATGAAATTTTTAATGAATTTTATTCTTAATATTTTCTCTTGTTATTGAATTAGTTCTATCCTCTATCATTTGTCTAGTATATATTGCTGTCACAAATAACTGTTGATTCTTACATTTCTAATACCCACATGGTTCTTTATTGACACCTGATGTCATACATGTCATTACAAAATTTAGTTATGTGTACTAGTTTTAAAAATTACATTCATATTATCTAACAACAATACTCCACATTTCCTTCACTTACCTGTTATTGTGAATAATTTTTCTTTTCCTTCTTATTACTCACCACATCTTCAATTCAGATGTCAGGAACATTCTTTTGGTCTAAAATCAGAATTATTCTTGATATTTCAGATAAAATTTCTATATGGTGGCAGAGGTACCAGAATGAGATGTAAATTTGTTAGATTTAGGGTGGTGTAAAATTTAAACTACATATTCTGAGGAAGATGAGGTGTCTTCATTGTTATGAAGTTTATTTTTAATATAGTGTGCCCCCCACTCATAGTCACTTGTTTATGTAATAATTCTCTTATAAAAATATTACTGCCACATAAAATATTCTTAGAAAGTACTCTACCACTGAGTTCATATCATTGTGATATTTTGTGACAATAGATTATTGGCCTTTTCCTTCACCTTGCCATTTACACATTATTTGATCTTCATCAACGTAATTTTTAGTGCATATGAACATCTACCCTCCTTTTTTGGCCAGTTGAATGTTATAGCAGGGGTGTTTACTTATTAAATAATTGATTATACTTTTTAAATGGAGTTTCAACAATTGGAAACTTAAAAAATGCAGGGAGTATTTGTCTTTGGAATATTTGGGAGTATTGATCTTTTCAAAGATTCTTCTTTTGTATGTTCATTGTTTTTAAAAAGTAATGAATAAAACTTCACGAAAGTACTGGATTCTTTTTAATAGGCTGTTAATTTGGACATTGAAGAAACTCTCTAAACAATGTGAAATGATTTCTGTAATTGTAACATTTAATAAATGAAAGATGTATGTTTTCTTCTATTATCCCCACATCATTATTTGACTATAGGAACCTAATTTGACTGTTGTCTTTCAATTTTGAAAAAAACATAATAGAATGGCAGGAGCATATTGCTAGAGTGAGTTTGAATACTCAACTCTACTTTAAATCTTGATATTTCTTTGCTTTAAAAAATTGCTTTTACTTCTGACATGGTTTAAGAATGAGATAAGGAGAGTACCAATGCCTGATGTATTATTAATTAGTTCTTGATTTCTGTGTCCTTAAAACACCCTCCATGGGAACAACTAATAAGTGAAGTAATTAACACAGGCCCTTAAAACTGATCTTAGATATGAAAAAAAAAAATTCTTTAGATAGTTCAGTTTGTCAAAGAAGCAAGCAGAGCATTTTGTGTGATTATCCTTTGCTTTACATTCCTCTAACTAAGATAATTTAAACAGATTTCAAAAGCTAGATTTACAATAGTAAATGAAAGACACAGTTTGATCACTTTAGATAAAAAGTGTCATTGGCTTGGTATAAGTAAATTAATTTGAGCATTTTTTCACAACTTAATCGGTATTAATATCATCATCTGAGTGAAGCGTTAACAGTGTGACCCACAATTCTGATTTGGTAAATTTCATATTGACCCAAACAATTTGGGATCAGCTTGACTTCTTAATAGTAATGTTGTGGGCTGGATGGGTAGTAAATGTTAAAATACCAAGTAGAAAAATTTACTCTTAACCTTATCCAATCAATTATGTCTTAATAATAAATCCATATAAATTCAACAATTTGGAAATATATATATATATTAAATAATTGGACAGATCAGGATTTTAAACTAACTCAAAACTTGCAATCAACTCTCCATTTTATATAAGCTGAGGTAGAGAACGTATCCTACAGCCTTGAGAGCCACATTGTACAAATAAATATGCTGCATTACATGACAAATAGATGGAAAGAGTTTACAGAAAATAGTTTGATATTTAACACTGGAAAACAAACAGAAAAAATATTTATTGTAGGATTCTTTGTCACAAGGTCTCTTTATGCAATTGAAATTTTATTTATTTAAATAAAACAGATCATTCAGCTTTTCAAGAGGTGTTTGTAAAAGTTTGAGAGAACAGAGGAAGACAATTAGAAATTCCCTAAGACTTGAATGGCTGAGGTGTTCTACTGATGTATAATCACTGTTCTTAATGGAAAGGTAAATAATTCAATGTGGACATTTTAAACATGAATTTTACCCTATAGTGAAAAAATACAAACTGCCTTCTGTTCCATGATTAAATTATGGAAGCCATAGAAATCCATTAGCACTGTTGTTTCTTTATATGTTTTGAATTTTCATTTTTCTTCTCCATTACCATTGACAGCAAAATGAAGACAGTTTTCATCCTACTTATCCTTGTTGGCACGTCTGAATTGTGAAGTATTAATTTTATATCCTATGATGTTGGCAATTCTATAAGCGATCCTCAAAGAGTTCATGTAATGTATGTTATAATGAAAAAAAAGACCTGCACATATTTCAGAACAATATTTGCCACCAAAATAAACTTACCTTTTAAGTTCATATTTCTATGAACTTTTTGAGGTAGTACCACATTTAGAGACAGCTGTTGTGAGTTGAAAAGACAGAGTAGTTGGAGGCTCTTCTGCGTGAATTCTTATTGCAAAACCAATGTTTTTGGATCTTACATTATAAAACTGTTTTATTATTACTTCTCATAGTTAGCTTTGAAGAGCTATGCTAATGTGATACATTATTATGCCTGCTTTGGTGAGTTCTCAGATTTCCTCTTCTTTCGTGTACTGCCATTGACTCAAGACATCTGATTTTCTTATTTTTTGCTTACCAACAGTTCACATAAGATATCTGTTTTCATACTTTCAGTTCCTTTAATTTTTGAGTGTTTATTTTGAGAGATGATGTGCATTAGGAGTTGTGAAAAGTAAATATATTTTTACACGTATAAACTAAAGTACAGTGGCTTTATTTTAGGAAATAGTTTTGCAAAAAGACTATTTCTAGGCAGTTTATGGAGTCACACTTATCTAAGCTCAAATTTAGATTACATCATTTGTCTTGAAAGTTAAAATTGAGCATATTTTCCTTTTTTCTAAAAATATAATTTATGTTAAAATCTTTACTATTCTGGTGGGAGTGGAGATAGCAACTTAATAAGAATCAACAGAATGGTAAAATGTATTATTTTCATGTTAACACAATTTTTAGCATCTATATGTTACTTTGCAAAAATTACATTTCACTTTTCTTAGAAGGAGAAAATATGGCAACTTGTTTTCTATTATTATGAATAAAAATAATTCTTGGTTCAAGAAATCTTTCTGATACAAAAGGGGAAAAGAAACAAAAGACAAACTTCCCCCAGCTTCTCTGAGATGAACATATGTTCAACGTGGTGTTATGGATCTTTTGAAACCACTTATAGGATTTTGGCCTAGGTGGTATTTGGTCTGTCTTCCTGTTTGAACCTTGGAGTCTATATATGTCCACATTTGGCATATCTGTTCTACACATTTACAGACAGTCTTACCTTTTAGAAATATGCCATTTGCTGTACTTTTGAACCAGTAAATTTAATGTGAGAACCCCAGGTAACATACAGAACTAATTCACGTCGTCTATGTGTTATATAGTTAGGGGAACAGTTAAATAAGGGCTCACTGAGGGACATGTTGAACACTTCTATTTTCCTGTCATTTCATCACTGTTTCTGGACATTTTGTGACTCTTCTCAGAGAAAACTTTTAGTATAATGGAAAGTTGAGCAGGCTCTCTATTCTGAGAATAGCTCACTGTCCCGTTTCCCTCGTGAGGGCTGAGGTTCTTTGAGATGATTGTGTTTTCACAGGTTTGTTATGAAGACATAATGAGATAATTTATGTAAAATGTGGTTTCTAAACCTCACAGTACTGTATAAGTTTATTGTTTTCTGCAGCTGGTGCTGTTATTGCAACCACACTGGGTCAAATTCCATTATTTAATTCCAAACCTAAGTAAACATTTCAGGTGTTTAAATAGGTGAACAGTAGGCAGGGAAGATGACATGGTTTCAGGTGGTGAGGAGGAATTCAGAGACTGAGGAGTACTGAAAATAGATAGGTTAGAAAGGTTTTAAACACAAACATATAAATTGCAAAAATGTGTGATGAATATTCTAGGCACCATGTATTTTAGACGTTCAGCCATTTTCTTCAAGACATGATAAAAAATAAATTAAGCAAACAAACTAGCATCTTTTTTCCCTTGTTAAACAATCTTTTGGTTTAGTTTCAAGTAAGAGAAATCTCAAAATTATTAAGTTGTTGGCCCCATCATGTGCCTTATGGCTTCAGATTGTCAGAACTACAGTTCTAAGATGATTGCTTCTATTAATAGCTTTTTACTTTAGATGGACTTTTAAAATGCTAAAAGAAAGAAAATGGTGTGCTTCAGGAATTTAAGGGCATGTATTTGTAAGGCTCCTTGGAACCTTAAAATTTCTAAAAATCATTTATTACTTTGAAGGTATCTAGAAATAAATTTAAAGTGCTGATTTACACAAATTAATCCTTCCTTTTGGGGTTTGGCCAGAACAACTGCTAATAAGAAAGGTTATAACTCACATTTCAGGTTCTTTAATAAGTAAAATTTTGCATTGGATTTCAAATCTACAAATAGATTTATGACACCCTATAAATTTGCTTGCTGTGCAAAGCTGATTTCAATGTACCAAATGAAGAATACTCAGAAAATACATTGTGAGGAAATCAGAAATGGTAAAATAAGGATTAAAGCTAAACTAACATGATAAAAATTTCAAATAAAAATAATTTATGCAATATGGTTTGCTAAGTATTTGATGCAAGTACTATGTTTGACAATTATTTTCAATTAGTTGTAATTTGCTTCTTTCAACATTTCCCATCTTTTTACCTTTTTTATTATGTATGTATTCAACAAAAATTTTATCTACAGTTTTAAAAGTCCATTCTTTTTCAAGCTGCTTTTTAATTTGCTCTGATAGTCAACATAAAACTATAGTTTTGATATCTTTAGAGGAAATAAGAAATTAAAGGTTTGACAGTGCTTTCCATTAATTCATTGCCTTATTTTTTTTAAATATGTTGACTCCTGTTAGACTTGACATATTCCCAACCTGTTTCTGACATCATAAATATAAAATGACAATATAAAAAAGTGCTTCTTCTTCTGTGACAGTGAAACTTATAGTTTATATTTAAAAACCCAAATTTAAAACAATGTGTAAATACCATAAAGTAACAATATTTTCAAGCAATAACCTGTGTCAAGCAAATGACAAAAATAAGTTCATTATTTTACCCTATGGAAAGTATATTCTCTTAGTTTGATTTTAATGAACCATAATGCGGTGACACAGTCAGTGTATGATTTAGGTTGGCGTCAAATTATTTTGAATTATTTTTCAGATAAATTGGATGTAAATTCCATTATGGAAAACAAATAATCACTTTAGAACATATTTAGGATGTTTATATTCTACTTGAGTGGTAAAGTTCTCCACCATGGCTCATATCTATATTGGAATGAGCTGTAAATGTTTAAAAATTTGCCCTCAGAAGAGAATTGATGTAGCATACAATGTGAAAAAAATTAAGTATTTCCTCTGAGTTGTTCCCAGAATATAGTCTCCTAGTTCTAAATGTCTTAAGAATCAGGCACATTTTGCACTGATGGTTATTTTTAGGTGAGCCACTTTGGGTTAATTAGGACAAAAAATTGTTCCTGTACAATTATTATGCACTGTCCTCCCACCTTAGATTGAAAATAATGAGATATAACCAAATTTTTTTTTTATTGTCACTGGCAGCTGCACCTTTTGAGTGTATCAAAGTCTGTTGCTGTGGTTACGGCCTTTGTTTCCAGTGATGTTTTGTCCATGCTTCCCCACAACCCTTAACAATGATTTATTCAAAAGAATGAAATAATGAGTCATTCATTCGGAAATATGTTGTTAAAATATCCCTTTTTATCATTACATTTCACTGCTTAGAAACCAGGCTGTAATTCAAGGCAACAGTTAAGTCTGAGAAGAACTGTTAAAAAAAAGGAGCCTTTGATTTTTTTTTTTTCATTTGTAAGAAAAACCTGTCTATGTAATTGAAGAACCTCTTACAAGTCTGAACAATTAAATCCTTTTTTGGTTAATGTATTATTTCTGGAACAAGTAGGTAAAATTCTACGCAGTAAGCATGATAAAAATCGTGCATGTTTTGCACAGCACAGAATTTTAGAGTCAAGGTTTCTGGGCACAAAAGCAATAACAAAACAGTCCCTACAAAACTGAGTAACTCTGAATAACACAAGAAATAATTGTTGTTAATTTAAAATTTTAGAAACTGAAAGGTGTAAAGTTTGTAAAGTAAAATGTAATTAAATTATGGTACTGTACATACCAATTGTTTCTATAATTGAAATTTTACAATATGAAAAATACATTAGCTCTGTACAGTTTTTACAGGTAGGTAGAATGAATTTTGAAAAAAAGATTTTCTTTTTTTCAGGTCGTACTGTATTTAAGTCAAAAAATACTGCACAACTTAGCTAATTACAAAGTGTAGACTTGAAACAATTCATGTCTTCTTTATTTCATGAATCAACCTTGGATTTTTGTTTATTTGAACAGGGGGGTTTTGTTTTGTTTCCCTTTTTAAGAGTCCACAATGAACAAAGATTCCTCATTTTGTCCTTGAGGTTACAAAGTTTGGTAGCAGCTCTTGGCTACCAATTAGCTCAGTTAGGCCAGCTGCTGTTTATGGTCACTGATTCGGCCAGCTGTTGTGATTGTGCTCAGGTCCAGCTCAGTCTCTAGATGTGTTTCCATCGTATCTTCCTGTGCGTTCGTTTCAAAAGACTTATGAGAGAGAAGTTCATGATGTACCCCACAGTAACTTATTGTGGGCTGGTCGTATGCCAGAAAGGTTGAGACATTCATTGATAAAGGTATCTGGGAAAAAATGACATGAGAAAGGTCAGTTACAAAATGACAGACAACTCTGGGGGCAAATAACAGGTCTCAAAGTGCTGATTTGACTAGCCTGGCTATTGCTACAGCTGTGACTGAGGTGTCTCTGTTGTCCAGTTAATGTCCTGGTTCTCGTCGGTTGAGTTCCATGCAGCAATTGTAAAACCTGAAAATTAAGCTGCTCAATTGTTAACTAACCCTTTCAGATAAGTAGTAGAGTCTAAGTTTTTAAAAATCATAAAAACCTTATTGGAAAAATAAACAATTATGTTTACTTATGGGGTAAATTTGCTTTTAGAACTAGGAAAATGAATATCTGATTATGCTTGGTATTAGTATTAAATTTTAGCAATCATAAAAATCATCTGCTTCGATTTCTCATCCCTCTGTCCCCCACTGTAGATCTGAGGCAAGTCTGGAATTTGCCTTTCCTAGAAATTCTTAATGACTGTGTCATTAATCTACAAACTGTGGCTTCAGAATTCTGGCAGAAGAGTTGTCAAGTTATCCTGGTTATTTCGATCCATAACTTCTTAGTGTTTATTTCACCACCAAAATTCCTTGAAATGTTAATAACCTTAGGTTGGTTCATATCTAAAATTTAAAGCTCAGGTTAAAAACCAGAAAAATCAGTAGTTTCTTTGACTGTCTTAAAAGTATCACGGGACAATATTATTGTATATAAGGAAATTACTCACTTGTTAATTAACGAAAGTACATAGTAAAGGAGGGAAGAATAAAATACAGTATGACCGTTGTGAGCAAAGGAGAAGCGTACATTCTACAGATCAAGGGCACTCTAAAAACACAATCAAAAGTCACAGACTAAGAACCAATCTCTCTCTTTCCTCCTCTCTCTCTGCCTGTTGCTATGTATCTGTCTACTTCTATGCTTCTATGCATTCTTATTTCTCTTTTATTAAAACATGATTTAGTAAACAATTTCTTTGTTTTGCCTTCAATAAAAATTTGCAATTCTTTTTGAATTGTTTGTAATATGGATATTTTGATGTATCGAATGTGTAAGACTTTGTCTCCTTAGACAGATGTGTAATCCACCTAATCAAATTAAACTTCTGATTCCTTTTCCATTTTATGTGGATTTAACAAATTGGAACATGAAACTGATTGTTAATAAAAGAAATATGCTTTAGAAAATGACCAAGAAAATAGAAGGATCATAAGAAAAATAGTTAACAGAATCCTTTCCATTTAAAATAAATAAAAATTCTTGTTGTTTTGGATAAAATACTTCAGGGTTTATAATATATTAATAAACTGTAAAGATGTGAATAAGAGTTGATATAGAAATACATGCATTTTACATTAGCCTTTGGGAAATCACTCAACAATGTGTTAAGGTCACACGCCTGTAGGATTTTTAGGTACATGTTCCAATTTGTCATGGAACTAAATAATTCATATATATTGTATCTTTTTTAGGTTATTTGGAATTAACTCTAGTGCGATTTGTGATTTCTGTAATCACAATTTATGAATAATAGCAAATTATGATATATTTATTTTGGCTGAATGCATATCTACACTATTTCTTGCTTTATTTAGTATCTAGAGTCTGCTAGTACCCAGACTGAAACTCTCAGGTTGAAACATGTATGTATTAAATTTTCCTTTGAGTGTCTCTTATTATTGGATATGTTCTACAAAAAGCACTACATATAGCCTAAGCTAAGAAGTCATTATTTGGTGTTTTACTGGTGAAAGGCAGTAGCGAAACCATTATTTAGATTGTTCTTCGAGGAGAATTTCAATTCTGCTTGACTAGTACTATCTTTGTATCAATCATATTTGCATTAGCAATAATTTTCCACTATTTCAACATAAATAATATATATTTTTCACAGAAGATATATATATATATAAAGCTTAATGATCCAGAATAACTCATTTTAAAAGATTTTCCCCTATTCAAAAAAGTATTTGAACTTGTCTTATAAAGAATAGCTTTTTGAAGTCTATGAGCAAATAAGAATAACCTAATCATTTAAACCTTACATTCTCTGTGTAAATAACACTTGTGTCTATAAAATTTCTATGTGTACATATAAGCAGGCACAAGTATTTCTCATAATAGAATTTGCTAGAATAACTTAAGAATCTTTTCTGTGGATCACAAAGATTATCTTAAATACAAAATATTCTGAAGAACAGAAAATGATTATTCATTTTTGGAAGATAATAATGAATCAGGTTTTTGAGATGTAGCTCTAATTTGTGTTAAGATGTACTTTCTCCATTTTGTGCTTGAATTCAAATGTGTAATATCTTTTGTTTTCTATTTATTGTTGTAATTAGTTTTTAATTGAATATACTTGGAACTGTAAGAGAGTTTGGCAAAGGTTCAGTGTGTAACATCACACAAAAATCAACAACATTTGTATACACAACCAATGAATAGAATGTGTGATATAGTTCAATTAGCAATACCTACAAAAACTCATATACTTTGGGATAAATTTAACCAAGGATGTGAAATACCTTTATAATAAAAATTATAAAACATTAAGGGAGTAAATAGAGAAAGATACAAAAAATGGAAAATCTTCTGTGCTCATGGATTAGAAGAATTACATCATCAAACAGTCTATATAACCCAAAGTATGTACAGGTGCAATAAGATTCCGATTGAAATAACAAAGATATTTTTCTCTGATCTGGAAAAAAAATCCTGAAAATCATATAATCACAAGGAACCTCAAATAGCCAAATTATTTCTAAGGAATAAATGTTAAGCTGAACATATTACAGCATAATTATAATAAAATAGTCTGATATTGGCACAAAAATAGACATGTAGAGTAGTGTAACAGAATAGAAACCCCAGAAATTCACCCACACATCTATAACTAAAGTACATTTGACATATTGACTAAAATCAATCCTTGAAGGAAGGAGAGCCTCTTCAGCAAATGATGTTGGAAAAACTGGACCTTTGAGTGCAAAAGTATGAAACAATAGCTCTTTACTTACAACATATAAAAATCAACTCACAGTGGATCAGAGATCTAATACTGAGCTGAAATTTAAAAATTAGTGGAGGAAAACATGGAGGAAATACTTCAAGCATTGCTACAGGTGAAAACTTCTTTGATAAGACCCCAGAACAACAGCCAAAATGACAAACATAAACAAATGGGATTATGTGACGCTAAGAAGCTTTTGCACAGCAAAAGAGGCAACAAACAGGTAACCAAGAGAATGGGAAAAAATATTTATAAGTTATGCATTTGATAAAGGATGAATATCCAGGAAATATAAGACCTCAAGAGACTCAATAGCAAGAAAACAATCCAGTCAAGAAATGGGCTAAGGATACAAACAGGTAGTTTTAAAGGATGGAATAAAGGTGGAAAACAGACATATGAAAAGATACTGAGAGTCACAGGCCATCAGGGAAATGGAAATAACAACCACAATGATGTTCACCTCAGGTTAGTTAGAATGTCTATCATGCAAAAATAAAAAAAAAATTACAAATGTTGGCAAGTATGTAGGGGAAAAGGTACTTTGAGACACTATTGGTAGCAATGTAAACCAGTGAAACCATTATAGAAGACACTATAGAGGTTCCTCAGAAATATGAAAATAGATTCATCATAAGACTGGGAATTTGCTTAAAAATGATGAAATCAGTGTGTGGAAGTTGTTTGTACAGCCACGTTTAAAATATACAGTCAACCCAAATATTAATCAACTAAAAACTGGATAAATAAATTGTGGTGTATATACATGTTGCAATACTACTTACCCATAAAAATGGATGAAATCCTATCTTCAGCAAAATGAATACAGTTTGTACCCATTATACTTAATGAGTAAATCAGAGAGTAGCACATATATATATATATATTCCTGATTTATTATATCTAATATAAAGACTACAAAAGTTTTACAAATATATATGAGTTAAATTGACATTTTCAGATTTCATTTTGAGTAGTATTTATAGTCCTTGCCTACATGCTTTAGAAATTGTGGAGTTTCTCCTTACTACTTATTTATTGGAGGGTTAAGTTTGTGATTATAAAGAAAATTGGTAGTATATCATTGTAAAAATTGTAAGAGAAATCAAAAAGAAAGAGAAGAAGAGAAGAGAAGGCAGTTAGGAAGGAATACTATGCTCTTAAAATTATGTATATGAAACACCTGAAATTTGTATTCTGTATTGAAGTTTTTTAAATTTTAAAAAGAAACATCCATGAGAATATGTTTCCAAGGAATGAAATAAAAAAAAAATCTCTGTATTTGTTCCACACTGAGTCAAATATCTCTACCTTATGAAATGTTTTTTTCTCCTGGTTCCTTCTCTGTTGTAGAAGTACTTGCTGGTTAAGCCAGCTTTGCCAGTTTAATTTTACTTTTCCCAGTCTGTTCCCAATGTCCCATCGTTTTCAAGTTGTTTACTCAATGAAAATGACATGCACTCTCTTCTCTCATTGTGTTAGTTCTTGGCTCAAAGTATCTTTACCCTGACTACCTTAGAGTCTGAATTGATAGCCTTTCCAAAAGAGAAAAAAAAAATGTATGTTTGTAGCCTCTTTTTTAAAAAAAGAAATATCTAATTTTTTTTTAAAAGTCGAGTAACAGAGAGATGGGAGAGCCGGGGAGGATAGGGGATATCCTCTCTCACTTCCCCACCCCCACCTCCCTCTTCATCCAACCAACTTATTTTTTTCTTAAATGGCTGGCAAGAACCTGAAGTGAGCCAGTCTAAAAAATGAAGAACCTGGAGCTTCATCCAGGCCTTTGCAATGAGTAACAAGGGCCCGTGTACTTGTGCCATCATCCACTGCCTACACAGATGCATTAACTGAAAACTGGATTTGAAGCGAAGAAGTCAGGAGCTGAAACAGTGTTCAGATAGGGGATGCTGACATTGTTACAAGTTCTCATTGGGGAAGATTAACTGCATCTCTATTTAATTAAAAAGCAATACGGAGAAAATTATAATACTTCTTTTT